TATTGGCATCCAAGCATAAAACACTTAGAAATACCCTCCACAAATATATGCTTGACTTGGTCAAAGAAACCACTTTGCTTTGATTTGAGGATTTCTTCATTAATTTTTTAAGTTGGTAAAATGCATAAGGTTGCAGTACAATAATAAAACTTTTATCTTGATAGAATTTAAGAATGTACCTCAATATTGTTAAGTAGTCTACATGGTTTGTATGTTTCATTCATTTTTAAATGACTGCAAGAACAAGCATTATACAGTGGTGAATAGGCATCATAATAAACAGTGATGATAAATATGTAGTGCTATGCTTTTATCAAAGTATTTTAAGAGTTAAAATACATTATTTTTCAAATTTTATAAAGGTAAGGTACCATTTTTACATATTTGCATACCACCCCCACTCCCTGGGGTTGTGCTTAATAGAAGCCAGCTGGATTTTCAGATCTTTTCTATGCTCAGCATACTACAGAGTGCTATCCTGATGGAAGAATATAAAAGGAAGTCCCCTCACAGACAGATAGAAAAAAATAAAGTGCACTTTAATATTTGCTATAGACAACTGTGGATTTGTTGTGTGGCTGAGAGTCTTGGTTTTAAAACACACAGAAGAGAAAGGCAGCGTTTAAAGTTAGTCTAAAAGATAACCACCTTAAGCAGAATCCCACAGCATGGCTCACTGAGAACGACTCCTGTCCCTGGCTGATTCAGTCTGACTTGACAATAGCAAGGATGTAACTGCCTACACGGTTGACAGTAGCAAGGGCGTGACTGCCTACTAGGATAGGTTACCCTGTTCAGGCAGATGCACTCCACACCCTGAGTTATCTTTCCTGGACAATAAAGGCTATAGACCAGCTTCATCTCAGGACTCTTCTGGGGACTTCCACTCACACTGGAAATGTATTTATATTAATTTTTAAAACTTTATTATTTAAACACTTGCAAATAAATAAAAAACATCACATACGGAAATTAACCAGACCCAAAGTCTGTACAACTCCATAAATTTCTATGCAGTTACAATAGGTATTACGAAGGGGATCTGAAGCTAATTTTTATTCTGGTTCTGTCTTGGATTTTTTTTGTTTTGGTGGTAGATAAGTGCATAAAATATATTTGATATTGAAAGTATAAAAGTTAATGTGATGCTCCACTACCTCTGTTGTGAGTGCCCAGAAATACATTTAGTAATTATATAATTTTGCTAAGCATTGGTATCAAGATACATAGTAGCCAAAGACATCTGTCAGTACACTAGAACCTGGTTCCAGATGAGTGTTGACTTAACTTCTGGCAAATTCTGAGCACAGAAACAATCCATAAACCTATACCCAGAGTATCTCAATATTGACAGGCTGATAAGGGGGAGATAGAATTAAAAGTAAGCAACAAAGAAAGCAATTGTAATAAAATATAACAAATGTTTTATTTCTGTAGAAAAAAACAACCATAATATACTTTGTTCAAAAGAATAGGGATGTAAAGCGCCTCTTGCTAATAGCAATTGTAGCATTCTAATACTGCACACTCCCACATGCTAACACTACACACATCCTAAGCAACTGCAACATGCCAACACTGCACACTCCCTAAGCAATTGCAGCATGCTAATACTGCACATTCCCTAGGCAATTGCACCATGTTAACACTGCATGCTATCTAAGCATCTACAGCATGGTAACACTACATACTTCCTAAGCAATTGCATCATGCTAATACTGCATTCTATCTAAGCAACTGCAGCATGATAACACTACATACTTCCTAAGCAATTGCAGCATGCTAGCCCTGCACATTCTCTAAGCAACTGCAGCATGCTAACACTGAATTCCATCTAAGCAACTGCAGCATGCTAACACTGCACACTCCCTACAGCACCAGAAATTGGGAAACAGTCAGCATGGGGAATTGGAGTTTTTATACATGATGAATTCTTAGCAGAAAAAAAAGAGGAGCTTAAATGTCTTTTCTGTTTACCTGGGAATGATTTTTCATACTGAAAGAAAATATTAAATAATGAATAATAGAAGTAGGCAGAGAAGGAAAAGAGAAAGGAGAAAAAGACACACACTATAATCCCCATTTGTTTAAAAAGGTACAAAATACAACCCTTGAAAATTTAGAATGTCTGAATTTAAGAGAAAGGCTACCTTTGTGTGGCTGAAAAAGAAACACCAGGACTGAATAGTTACTTGGATTTTCTAGAAGAAAGTAGATTTTCTATTTCCTACCCCGAGCCTCTTCCGAAGCACAGCAGGCGACATAATTCCCGTGGATGTCATAACCATTTGGAAGTGGGATGGATGATTCACCCTTTGGGCAAGAAACGAAGAAAAAAATCCTCCTTGGCTCTGTTCCTTTCCCATTTGACCTCCTTAAAAGGACCATTTTGAAACTGTTAATCCAGCCTACCAAAATAGCTAACAACTAGTCTTTATTAAAGGTCAGTTGGCATGGCCAGTGGAACAGAGAGTTGACTTCTGAGGACCTGTGCATGCCTCTCCACTTTGTCCTAGGCTAAGAACAATAGCTGGTGTTTGCTTTTGTCTTCAACTTATGGCTGCTGTCAAGGCCTTATGCAAACAAACATGAAGGGCCATTTGGGCAAAGTGTGGACTTGATGGTAGCATGCTTGGAAATTAGTGACTGAAATCTCAGTGCCAGATGGTTCCAGAACACACACACACACACACACACACACACACACACACACACACACACACATCAATATGATGATTCAGCAATTTAGTGGATCTTAGAGTTGGCAGCCATCCCCTAGAATACGTCTCTGAGGAAATAAAACAGCACAGGTTGAGCAGTCTGATGGGTTTGTAACCATCTTTGGCACAAACCCAGAACATGACCAAACACGAATTTTAGACCACAAAATGTGACATTAGATGTGTTCACATTGGCCATGTATAATAATAATAATAATAATAATAATAATAATAATAATAATCTTCCAGAAAGGAAGGGGGAAAGAAGTAAGAAAAGGAGAAAAAAAGGGGGGAACTACACAATAAAAACAAAGACAGATGAGAAGGGAGAAGCCAAAAGATAGACACATTTCCAAGAATCAAGGTCAGTGATCTTACTAGAATGACATCTGTGTCTTCCTCTACATGTAATGTCTTACACAAATAATTCAAAAGTAATACATTATAAATATATGTCTTTCTGGATGAACTAGATGTTAACAATTTGTGCCCTGAAATCACTGTTTCAAATTAAGACAAGATGCAGCATCTCTGAGAGGTTCCTGTTTAAGGGCTGGCATTCTAATCTCTGCCTGCAGCTACTGAGGGTGCAGGCAGGAAGAAAAGCTGGGTTCCTGCTGCATCACACCTCCCAAGGAGAATGAAAACTCTCCCCAGAGCTGGAGGCCAAGTGCCTGAGAAAGAAGCTTATGCAAAAGATCCTGTGATGGGCAGGGAGGGAGCTTATGGACAAAGAAACTAAGCACTAGCACCAGGAAGACAGACAAATGTACAGAGCTGAGATTTGCCTGGCTGGAGACAAGAAAAGCTAGCAACCTCTGTACCTACTTAGGTGATGCTTCAAAGGTGGGGAGGTTTCTTTCCTTTCTCTGGCTCTTCGGTGACATCATTATTGAATTAAATGCCAAACAGGAGGAAAGACCATATCAATAAGAATTGCTTTGACAGCTCCCACTTTGAATGTGGGCTCTCTGGGAAATAAAGCTTCATCTGTGTGAAGAACCTGACTCAGGAAATATGTGCTATTCAAAAACACTGCAAAGAAGCCAATAGAAGACAAGGATTCTGGCACCTAGGATGACCAGATAGGCAGACTCACTAGAAGGATGATGAACTAAGGTGCCTACTGTGGTGTTGTAATTTACCTAGTTAATAAAGTGACAGCTATTTTAAAAGAAGAGAAATTAAATTCAAATTATCTCAAGATGGATAAATACTCCACCAACCTTGAAACACTGCCTTTGCACTAACTTACTTGGTTAGCACATATCCTTAATTGTCCTCAGGGCTGAAAGGCTACAGTGCAAGGAAAACAGACAGCATGATAGGTATGTGAATGATCTCTTAACAATACCCAGAGCAATCAGGTTCTACGTCAATATTTGAATGAAATAGTATAGTATATTGCAAACAGTTTGATAGCTCATTACAGTAGGAAGCCTTACGACCAAGGAGATCACATATGATTGAATCTGAATTTGTATTTTGTTTTGAGAGAGGCATCAGCAGATACAGATGACTGGGGACAGGAGAGTAGTGTCAGGCACCTTTTTGAGAGGACTGATGAAAAAGAACAATCAATCTTTAAAATCAGTTTGTTCCTTTTAAAAAACAAAGGAACTAAAAGACAATTACTCTGAATAACAGAGATAGATATCTATACACAGTAACTGTCTTTATAACAATGTGAATTTCACCAGGAATCACATTTCTGTCTTCATTTGCTTCAAGAAGCTCACATCCAAAGTTTGAAAGGAGATACTGTTGTCACACCCCCCACGTTTTATGTGATATCCTGATCTTATTCTTTCCTCCACTGTTCTTTCTCTTCGTACTGTTGCTGTTTTATTTTATTATGTGCTTTTTTGGTAAGCTACTTCAAATATTCTGTGCAAGAAGGATTTGACTGACAAAATTGATAATTCATAGATAACTGGCCTATGAAAGCACACATACTAGGTTTAAAATGTACACCGTATGGGTCCATTTATGTAAGGCACACAGCCACACAAACCCCATGTGAAGCAATTTGGGATACCTACATGGGGATGGCTAAAATATGAAGAACAGCAAAAGGACTGGAGAGATGGCTCAGGGGTTAAGAGCACTGCCTGCTCTTCCAAAGATCCTGAGTTCAATTCCCAGCAACCACACGGTAGTTCTCAGCCATCTGTAATGAGATCTGGTGCCCTCTTCTGGCATGCAAGCATACATGCAGACACAACACTGTATACATAATAAATAAATCTTTTAAAAATTGTTAAAAAAGAAAAGCAAAGAAGTATATGTCATGAATTCAGAATGCTGGCTACCTCCAGGTAGGATACATAGAGGTTGTAGGCATGAGGAGGAGGCAATGTCTTCACATTCTGCTTCTTTAGCTGGGTAATTATCAAAGGGCATTTCCTTCCTGGTGATACGCTGAGCTGCATATTCATATTTTTATAGATATATTTTGTGTTTTTCTTTAGAAGTACTATGATTTGAAAGGATTAAAAGTATATATATGCATGTATATGAAATCTTAAAATTTTTACATATGACAATTGATGAAAACAAAAGCAAATACTGCAAAATAATAAAATAAATCCCACTAGGATTTCTACAAGATTTAAAAAAAGACAATAAGGAAAGGGATTATTAGTGGAAGAAACACTGTCCATATTCCAGACAGTAAGAATATTAAAAGGATAGGCCACAACAGCAGGCAATTTCAATATCAGACACTACCACAAAATCAACGAAGCCATGAAAACAGAATATAAATAGTATGTTTTAAATGTCAAACTCTTTATTCAAAGTAGTTTTTTTCATTCAAGATATGCTGATTATAGTTCACTCTCCCCCAACTCCTCCCAGGAGCTCCCCACTTCCCTACCCACTCAAACCCACTTTTGAAGAGTTCATCCACACAGTTTTACTATGCACCAGGCAAAGTGGAGGCACCAGGGCATCAGGCAGGGTAATGGACACAGTATACAGTCTCTCTTTTCATGAAGCCGACATTCTGAATGCAGGGACTGCTAGAAAAGGAGTAGTAGATAGATAGGAACAAGCACTCCACAGGGAATGCTGAGAGTGAGTCCTCCAGAATGAGAAAAGTTGGGAATATTTAAACAAACAAACAAACACAAAAAAACCTCAGGGTGGGGGCACACCTCATGAGAAAATGGATGCTTAAAGGGACAGAGGAAAGGCTGTGCTCGTCATAATCATAGAGGACCTGAATTCTGAATAGGATGAGTTGTAGCCAGGGAACTGCTCATAGTCTTACTTATACCTTTTTAAAAGTAACTGATTTTTGTAGGAAATAAAGCAAAGCCAAGCAACTATGGCCTTCATCATCTAACAGACAGGCTGCTGGCCATCAGCGAAAACATGAATGGAGACCAGTCACAACATAGGTACAACCTGGTTATGACTCCATCAGCAATCATGGAAAACATGAATGGAGACCAGTCACAACATAGGTACAACCTGGTTATGACCAAGCTGGAAAGCTTGCTGATGGGCCAATGTGGAAGGTGTGAAAAAGAAAGACCCCAGGATAATTGCTTGACTGTGACTTAAGCAAGTAAGTGGCCAGCATAGCTCTGAAATTAAGTGGAAGAAACACATAAAACTACGCCATTGTGTATAGGGGCACATACCTGTAATCACAGCACTCAGGAGGCTGAGGCAGATGACTGCCATGAGTTCTAGGCCATCCTGGGCTGTATAAGTACTTATCTAGAAATAAAATCTTGTCCCCATCTTTTACACATGAAGGTATAGACTGAAAACTAGTTTACCCTCTCCCCAGTAGGAAGAAGCACATATAGTCTTCTCAGAGAATGGAGGGACAGTTTCTTAGCCCACCTGAAATCCATGTGACATGATCTGGGTGTGATCATGGGTGTAAGAAGCAAAAGACAATCAAATTCATATAGTATTCAACTCCCTGTAAATTTAGAATTTTGGTACAAGGTTTATAATAGTATATTCTCCATTTCTATTGTAAGTTTTTAGTCTCTTCTAAGTCTCAGCCATAAGTATCTAGTCTTGTGACATCTAAGAGAGTAATAATTTCTCATGGCCAAGCGTGGGCATAAAAAATTTATATTTAATTTTCCTTTGTATTTTTAAGAT